GCTAGTCCCACAAGAAACTGTCTAAAGTAAGCATCACTCTTTTCTGCTCTAGCGTACCTCCACCCTGCATGTGACCCATCCCATAATGCTTTGCATCACCTGTCTGTGCTAACCAAGCAAACACTGTGCAAGACTAGCTAGTAATGCCAAGTTAAATGTGTTGAACTGTCTGACACAGACTAACCCCTTTCACACACACAGTCTTTTCTGGTAAATTACTATTAAGAGATCATGTGTGAACGCGACCTTTCCAAAAGCGCCTGTCAGTTCTGACAATTTCCCGGTATGAGAAGTGGCAACATTAGCAGTAAATTACCGTTACGATTCTGTAAAGGAAGAGCAGGATTACGGGTATGAGCGCACACCAGGCTAGAACAGGTTTGGCTTTGAGCCGGTCGTAATGCTCTGTCGGATCCGTTTATGCTAAGATCCGCTGCTCGTAATAGTTCTTCTCTGTAAACATGACGGACGTCTGAGCTGCGCCGCGTCTCACGAACCCAAAATCACTTATTATACCCTTAAATAGGGCACTATTTGTGGAGGTTATCGAGTGAATTCATTCAATCCCACCGCAATAATGAGTGTACGATCGATGTATGCTCAACGGCAAGGGAATACCCATAATGCACTGTGAGAGTGAATTCCCACCCCTCACCAGAAGATGGTGCCCGACGCTTACTCATCCGTTTCCCAAACCACTGCTTCAGTGTGGCTCAACACTGCATAACATCATACAGGTATAAACTCCATGATTAAATTGAAAGAAATAAAGATTTGACATTTATCTTGACATTTATTTTATTTACACATATTTGACTGACTAAACCTCCAGCAACTCTGTAATACACATCTTTCCATCAAAGTTTCATCTAATAATTAAACCGCAAGCACTAACGGACTAATATGCAGCGCACTCGAGTTGGCTCACTGGTTTTTATTGAAGTGAACTCTATTAGTGGTCCACCGCGGGCACAGTGAGCGAGGGTATGGGCTGAATCCGGCGTTCTTCTCTTCCGGTAATCCGCAGTTATTGCCGATGCGTTTACAGTAACTGCAAGACTACAGGAACTATTGTGTGTGTGTCGTGTTTTTAGGAGCTAAATCTCATTCTGTGCGATGTCACTCAAATCAGTCACGTTGGACAGATAGTGAAACTAAAGCGCTTCTCGTCCAGGTAGATGAAGAAAACAGACGTGCTTAAAGGTAATTTCCAATCATTTTACCGGTTAAAGAGTTTACTGGTTAAGTCATTCTGGTAATTTACTGGGATTGCTGTGTGAACAGGGCTCATTAAAGAGGTTGTATTGACACCAAATGGCGTCACGAGAGCAGAAGTTTCCAGTATGCCGTATAGAAACACGTGACTTATGTCACTGTCAGTTTGACAGATATAGAAGAATAAATACATATTTATAAGTAAAACATTTCACACCTGACCTCTCTTGATGACCTTTCTCTCCAGTATGACAGACTAAACCTGATTAAAGTAAGATATTGGTATTTGTGAGCTCAGACCCATCCTCTGAGAAGCGTACTGTAGAGTCCCAGTGTGTGTGTGTGTGTGTGTGTGTGTGTGTGTGTGTGTGTGTGTGTGTGTGTGTGTGTGTGTGTGTGTGTGTGTGTGTGTGTCTCTCTCCAATGCTCGCATTACACTTCTTTCTCCATCCTTTTAGGTCTTTATATTTGTGTATATGAACCATAAACTTGTATCACAATCACTGTTAAAACATTTTTAGCATAGTTGTGTTTTTGTGTCCATAACATTCATAATACGTTTGGCAATGTATAACAACAAGAGATTAATTTAGTGTAAACTGACTGCCCTCTTGTGGTCGCTTTGTGTTTAGCGAATGTGCTATGATACAAGAACAGATGAAATATCCTATACACAAACTGAGCCTTCCCATAATGCCTTGTTTTATGATATACTTAATATACCTGTGCTGATCAAACATTCATGGATGGATGGATGGATGGATAGATAGATAGATAGATGATAGATAGATAGATGGATAGATGATAGATAGATAGATAGATAGATAGATAGATAGTTGAAGGTTCAGGTGTCCTAAAATGGACATTCTTTGGTTCTCCTGAGGAAAACAGCATATAAATCATATCAAATAATGCCTTTTGAAAATGTAGAAATGGATGATGTCATGGTTATGAAGGTGTCATGTCAGTCTTATGTACACCCCTTCAAGTAAAGTGTTACCCAATATAAAATAATTATGTGTAGGTTATGTCCCCATAATACGTATGTGTGTTTGTGTTAGTGATTTGTATATAGCCAAATATAAGTGTTTGTGTATATTTGATCACTCAGAAGCCTTAGAAACTCACTCTAATGTTTATCTCTTCCTCTTTTGTTTCTTCTTCCATCAAAATCGGATTCTTCAAACTCACAGAAAAGTCAAAGCTGGTATAACGTAAGTTTAAAAAAAATCATTATTCATTACTTTTGATGTTGAATGTTGTGTGTTTGTACAATATTGTGTAAAATATTGGGGTTCTTTATGAACTGGATTCTGTTTTCCATTATTCAATAATTAGTTGTTTGCTCATCTCCATGCCGTGTCATGTGACTCTCTGAGGTCGCCTCGATGACCTCTTTCTTCTGTGTTTGGCCTGACATTTGTTGTCCTGTGGGAAAGAATCCATTTTTTTTTTCCGGTCAGTTAGTACTTAATGACATTTTTCATCATTTTACAAGTGCCTTTTGTGATGTTTTGTCAGTGTGTTATTGTGGGTCGTAACCTCTGATGAAGCGATCTGCAGAACAAAGAGCGCTGTGTTCTTTCTCTCTGATCAACGGCGTGTCCATTTCTGCCCTGGATCAGAAACATCTCAAATATACAGAACAGCTCAGATCATTGGGTTCACGTTGAAATCTCAGACTTTAGATTTGATTTAGAGATCTCTACTGAAACTCATGTGAGATTACTGGATTCTGTGGATCTCATTTGTGGAGTTTACCCCCAGCATCACTTTTAAAGCATAATTATGGGTCTCTGCTGGATGGGTTTGTGAGTCTCTCTCTGGGGTCTGTGCGAGTCCTAATGCACCAGTTTAGTCATGGGGACGCTATACTTGAACAAGCACATCCTCTGGACGTTAAATCCTGATTCTCTGGTCATTTATTAATCCCATGGCACATCTCTTTAAGAGTAGGGGTGTAACCGTGCTGGCCTGGACAGATTCGCTCCATTTTTCGCTATCAATCTTGAGTTAATCCCATCCAATAAACTGTCTCTCTGACTCTCTCTGTAACGGTCACCAGGTGGAGTACCCTTGAGAGTCACCAGAGGGCACTCCACACCAGATGTTCATGTTTCATATACAACTACATTTCCCAGAAGTCATCATCACTGATCACATTCACCTGTACCTCATTCACTGATTGCGTTCACCTGTGTCTCATCCTGTTAGTCTGTCCATATTTACCCGGTTTTCACATTCACTGATTGCGAAGTCTTGTTGTACTGTGTGTCTGCATTTGTGAGCGGTTTCCATGTTTGTTTTTGACTTTGGATGGTTTTTGGACTTTGATTATTGCTGCCTGCCCTGACCTCTGCCTGTTTCCCGGATTCCCACTGTGTGTTCTCCTTTGTCCTGTCTGCCGAGTCTCGACCCTGCCTGTACGACTACTCTTAAATAAAGCTGCATTTGGATCTTCATCTACAAGCCTCAGAGCAGTTCGTAACACTCTCTTCTCCACCTAAAGCCTGTGTGTGTGTGTGTGTGTGTGGAGCGCACATCATCCTGGTGCATGTTGAGGAGAGACCCCTGATGTGATCGTAAAGCACTTTGGCTGTACAGTAGCTCATAGGAAAGCGCTGTATGGGGCAGTGGTGGCCTCATGGTTAGAGAGTCGGACCGAAGGTTGAGGGTTCAATTCTCAACTCCAGCAGGAAATGACTGAGGTGAGGTGCTTGAGGAAGGGTGCCACAGTAAAATGAGTCTCTGTGTGTGTGTGTTCACTACTCACTCCTGCCAGTGTGTGTGCTGTAACTTGGATGGGTTAAATCTGCATAGGACAAATTCTGAGTATGCTTTAACATACTGTGCCTTCATAATAAGTCACTTTCATTACATCTTTCTTATTAAAGCCTCATTCATTCATTCCTTGGAATAGATAGTCATACAACAATGATTTTTCAAATTTTGACATGCAAATTAGATATCTTTGAACACTTTTTACCAAAATAATTTTTAAATATAGATATTTTTGATGTTTTTTTGTGGGATAACTCTTAAGCAGTGTGTTACAGGAGTCTGAATGGGCCCGATGCTTCTGCATGACTCCATGTACAGCGTGTGTGTGTGGAGATAACAGTCGGTTTGTATAAAGACCAGAAGGAAACAGTGACTCTCTCCAAGTGTGAGCTTATCAGGAAATAGTTTACTTTGCTCATTTTAGTTTTTCTTGGGTGGACAGATAAGCGCAAGCTGTTGGACACATGTGCTCTGCTGTAAACATGCTAAATACAGGACTGTAAATAATCACGCTCCCTGTTACGGGCACTGGGACGCTCAAGTTTTATTTTTATTTGTATAGTGCATTTACAACCCATTTTGTTTCAAAGAAACTTTATAGAAAATCGTGCATTAATGACTTAGAATCATGCATTAATGAAGGAGAAGGAATAAGATGTTGAGCTAGAGCTCGTTCTGAGATCGCCTCGAGGACAGTATGATGGCAGTATAGAGTTATTCTGTTGTGCCTCTGCCATTAATCATGGCAAATGTAGGGAAATTAAAACATATTTGTCCTGTATTTCTCATGCATTTTTGGTTTACACTTTATTTTACAGTATGTGCACTTACAGTGACAGAAAGCACTGGGTAATATAAGGTGAGCACATGGGTTAGGGTTAGGGGTAGATTCAGGATTAGTATCTAGTTATTACCCAGTTACTTTAATACGTGCAAAGTATGTACATGGGTAATAGGACTGTAAAAGAAGTGCTACCCATTTTCTTCTATACTTCTATTCCAATTATATAACTTCAGGTATATTTTTGTAAATATTTTAAATAAGGTGTATTTTAGTTAAATTTGCCAATAGGACCTAAACTTGACATTCTCCACCAGACATGTAGTGCTTACATGTTTTATTGTACAAAAAAGAGAGTTCCTTAGGACTTCTGCTGAGCGTCCTGAGCGGTGTGTGTGTGTGTGTGTGTGTGTGTGTGTGTGTCTCGCAGTGCGGGCTCAGATGTTGGAGTCGAGGCCAGAGAGAGAGATGATTCACCCGTTTGGCATCCCCCCTTCCTCCAGCCCAGGAAGTTAACTAGAGTTCGTTGACCCCGTGAGAGTGCACGAGAGGAGGAAGACGGAGGCGTTGTCCTTGGCCGTGCCTCAACACTAACACCATAAATGTCTTGTGCACAATGGGGACCTCTGTGATTCTCTCAAACACTTTTATCTTTCTGTCCTCTACGTTCTCCAAGTTTCTGATCTCTTTCTGCCACTTCATGAAATAAATGAAAACTGCTTTTTGGGGGGGTTCACAAAAAAGCTAATTTGTGGAAGCTGACGTGTGTTTTTCAGGCCCCGAACCCTTCAGGGTCTTCAGCTGGAGTATAGGGGATGTCTGGAGAGACATTGAATCAAGTTTGACCTGGGGTGTGGGTGGGATGACAGTCCCAGGAAAAGCATATAAATCTCCCAGCTCTTCGATCATGAGTGAGGAAAATGTACTGCCTGAAGCAAAGAGCTCACTACATCTGGCACAGCCCCTCCCCTCTCTTCTTCTTGGCATTCTATTGGCCAGCTGGCTTCCCTAGCTCCTCCCTCTTTCTCACTCACAAACATTCTCTCAGGCCCCTCCCACTCCTCCTGGCAGAAGTGTTTTGTAGAAAGTGTTGGTGAGAGCTCGTTCCTGTTGTAATAAAGGGCTGCTTCTGCTCAGTGAGATCATTCGGTGTCCTCCAGGGAGAAATCCTCAAAGGGACGAGCCGCAGATCAAGTCAACTGGACTTGCAAGGATGTTGATGCTTGTATTTTGACTATTTTAATCCATGCTAAAGAAGGAATTTTGAAAGATTTTTTGCATTTTTTTAACAGGTGGATGTTTTTTTTGGACTTCCTCAAACGCATGCCTCGGGAATGTTCTTGGACGATTTAGTTTTCTTGGCAAACATTTAGGAAATGCGATATCCTATATGTATGTTTTCATCTGATAACCGTAACTGAAAACCCTCATGAACACGTTGAATCTGAAATATTGTAAAGTGGCGACGTACCTCTGAGTTTCTGGCTGGATCTGGAACTGTAAATGTGGTGGATCAGCGGGCATAACCCATCAAACAAGAAGATTGTTGGCCACAGCCTTTCCGAGCAGACCACTAACAGTCCTCGGTTTGACTCATTTCCTGAGGAACCCGTGCTCTGATCTCTTGGTCAAGACTGATGTGTGTCCATGATCAGTGTGAGGCGTTCTCCTGCTGTGTGTGTTTGAGACCCAGCGGCTCAGAAACACACGCGGTGATGCTCTCGGGGAACTCTCAGAGCATGTCCTGCTGAAGCAGATCGTGAAGCACCGCACCTCCATCAGGAGCGCACACAGTGAGTGGGAACGTCTGCTCAAACGGACAGAGCGATGGAAGTCCTCAGCTTCGATGCAGAGTCTGATTGGCTGTACGACTGGGAGGCGGTCCGACAGCCTGAAGTGCCCCCACGGGATTGGACGGACTGCGATTCAGAGAGCGTTCCTGCTGTAAGCAACCAATCAGAGAGCCGATGAGAAGGGAGTCGTGTCCTTTTGTAGTTTGGCTTTGTTGATGTCAGATCATGAGCATCTCATTATGTTTCAGTGGAGACACGACGCGCTTGCGGACCTGCTTAGGAGAGATGTCATGCATTTCGCTGTGAATGCGATGATTTGAGGGACTGTGGTGGTTTTACATGCGTTCAGTTGTGTACCTTGATGTAGATCGTTCGGCTGACAGAGTATTGAAAAAAATGTATATAAAATAATATGAATATTAAACATTTAATCAGACAGATAATGTGTTTTAGGGTTAATAAACTGCATTATGCAAAACTAAAATCAAAATTTCCTACATATTCATTCCCACAGGAAGCGTTAATGGAAACAGGGTGTGTGTGTGTGTGTGTGTTCATGTGTCCTGTACGTCGCCCGTCTCACTCTCTCTCTCTGTCCTCTCGTCTCTCAGGTTTTGAGCCCCACGTACAAGCAGCGAAATGAAGACTTCAGGAAGCTGTTCAAGCAGTTGCCCGACACGGAGCGCCTCATCGTGGGTCAGTCTCATGTACACCCTGAAGCCGGCTGCCGTATAATAAGCTGTCCGGTCGCATACGTGTTATCATTTACCATACAACCTGAAATGACTGCATTGATTTGTTGTTGTTGATTTGGTTAGCCCAAAAATGTTGAGACCTCCTATTCTTTTTTTTTTCAAACTAGTGATTGGCTGCTATATTTTTAGTGTTTGTCTGGTAACAATATGTATAAAACATGGAAAGGTTTGATGTATGAACCTCCATGACCTCTGACCTCCTCCTGACAGACTACTCCTGTGCGCTGCAGAGAGACATCCTCCTGCAGGGCCGCCTCTACCTCTCCGAAAACTGGATCTGTTTCTATAGCAACATCTTCCGCTGGGAAACGCTGGTGGGTTGGAGCCGTTCTCTCGAGGAGAAACAGCGTTTTCTGCCTCTCTTCTCCGCTGTTGATATCCAGTGAATGTGCTGAGTTGCTTCTGCGGGTTTGTTGAGTTTGTGTTGTCATCTCTCTGTGTGTGTGTGTGTGTGTGTGTGTAGCTGACGGTGAAGTTGAAAGATGTTTGTTCCATGACGAAGGAGAAAACAGCCAGACTCATCCCCAACGCCATCCAGCTGTGCACAGACAACGAAAAGGTGAACGGAGCTCTTGAACACCAGTGTGCCAAACTCTGGCCTGCATACTAACATGTGCATATTCTCCTTTAGCACTTCTTTACCTCGTTCGGGGCGAGAGATCGGACGTACATGATGATGTTCAGACTCTGGCAGAATGCTCTACTAGAAAAGGTTCGACAAGATATGTCATTTTTCCCAATGGTCCTTTGAAAACAAGTGTTTGGTGGCCATGTTAGCCCACAAAGTCTCTATGTCTTTCATATTTGTCTAGCCATTGTGTCCCAAAGAGCTGTGGCATTTTGTCCATCAGTGTTATGGGAATGAACTGGGTCTGACCAGCGACGATGAAGATTACGTACCTCCTGATGACGACTTCAACACCATGGGGTGAGTCTTCCCCCATCCTGAATGTTGAATCCTAATTTACAAATCTAGATCCTCTCTCAAAGCTTTGCTAGAAGAGGTCAAGCAAACGGATTTTCATTTGCCAGTTCGGGAATGTCTGGTTTTGGGGAATTTTGTTTAGTCACAATAGTGGTTTTGTGTCCCTCTCCCAGCTTCCAGTGCACTCAGACTTACAGATTTAGTCTTTTTTTAGGACTGAACTCAAGAAGATATTTTAGCACAAAATACACCCATTCAGAGACACGGATCGAGGCCCAATCAGATGCAGCCAATCCAAATCAGTTTTGTTTTTGAAAAAAGTACTTTTATTCAGCAAAGATGGCAATCTGTATTGTGTATAATTCGCCCAAAATAAAAATTCAAGTGTTCAGAGTTTTTAGTGTCAGTATTACATTAAACTAAGATATGTGGTTCGAATCCACTGTGAGACGCCAATGTGACACTTGACCCCTCGTTGATCCAGAGGCGTGCGACCTCTGACATATAGAGCAATTGTAAGTCGCTTTGGATAAAAGCGTCAGCTAAATGAATACATTTAAAAAATTTAGCATTTTAATCAAGAGGACATTTTTGTTCACCTTTTACCATACGTCTTGGATTATCACAATGATATTGTATCGTGAGTTCACGTATCGAATCGTGACATGAGGGTATCGTTACACCTCTAATGTATATTAAACCAGATTTAGTATTTATTGTAATTCCAGCATGTATACATAGAATAGCACTTTACTGTATATGTGTAATTTGTCTGAAAACAGTGGTGTCTTTTGTAATTGTTACTGAATTTTAAGGTGTTCTTTAAACTGTGTAGTATTCAATTTAAACTTAAATGTTAGTTTTGTTATATGTTGTTTTGTGATGACCTGACGGGGGACTGCAGATGGAAAGTAGCCCTGGGGCTAATTCTGGCATATTTACATTGCTGAAATGTTTATCAATGTGCATTGTCCCTTTTAAATAAATAAATAAATAAATAAAATAAAAAAAATTCAAAGTGGCAGTAAAAATATTTATAATGTTAGAAAAGATTTCTATTTCCTTTCTATTTATCAAAGAATCCTGAAAAAAGTTTCACAGTTTCCTCAAAAACAATAAGCAGCACTATAAGACTGATATTAAGTAGAACCATTTCTGGATCAGCAAATCAGCAAATTAGGATTTGATTTCTGAGGGACCGTGTGACGCTGAAGACCCAATCAGAAATGCGTCAGGAAGACCACTGCTGTACATCCAGCATTCAGATGGCAAAGTGTCATGGATCTGCTGTAGACGTGTCTCTCTCGTCCTCTTGCTATCTGTGGTGGAGGGTCAGCTTCCCGAGCTGGTAATCTTGACCTGCAGCTGTTGCCCGTCTCCCTGGTGCAGGTACTGCGAGGAGATCCCCGCTGAAGACAACGAGGCCCCTGACAACTGTCCCAAAACCCAAGACGCCAAAATGGACATCAGCCCTCAGCTCCACAGGAAGGTGTTCCTCAACAGCAGTGTCCACTCCACGGACAGCACCGACGCTCCGGTCAATGTAAGCGCTGGCTCACACACAGTCACAGTGGGAATACAGAAGCGTTCATTAATGGGACTTTACGCATGACAGAAGTGGTTAGGAGGGCCAGCATAATGTTAGCACTGCAAATTGATATTTTATTCATTCAGAATGTTCATAATCAATGTTTTATATCCTTGTAGTTCCCCGATGTGCCCCCAGTGGAGGACTTTACTGGCTGCGTCCCAGAAGACCTCCTGCCCCTGCCTTTGCCCGACAACATGCTGTCCGAGACCGGTCCTGTCCCCGGCCCTCCGCCCTCCCTCGACCTCAACGACAACGAGGACCTCCCGACTGAACTCAGCGACTCCTCGGAAACACACGACGAGGGTGTGTATGCAAAAGCCAGTTCTATTGACTGGACCACAGCTGTAGTCTGACTGTTTCTGTGTGTGTGTGCGTGTGTGTGTGTGTTGTCAGCTGGGGAAGTGCAGGCCTTCCAGGAAGATCTGAACGGGAAACTGTACATTAATGAAGTGTATATGTTCAGCGTGGAGAAACTGCACGACCTCCTCTTCACTGAGTCCCAGTTCATGAGAGAGTTCCTGGAGCAGAGGCGCTTCTCAGGTTGGGCATTATGGGTTATCTATCTATCCATCCATCTATCCATCCGTCCGTCCATCCGTCCATCTAATCTGTCTGTCTGTCTTTCTATCTGTTATTGATTTCACCTTGTTCTTTGTTTTGCAGATGTGGTGTATCAGCCGTGGAGGGAAGAGGACAGCGGTCAGACCCGAGAGATCCGGTACACCATCGCCCTGTCCAACCCGCTGGCCCCAAAGACGGCCACGGTCACCGAGACACAGGTGAGCTCACCCGAGGAGAGACACGCGCCGCACACGCTCTCTGTTTCACGTAGTTTTTCTTCTGGATGACGACGCTATGGAAAGCTTTAGTGTCTTTGTTTTCTTGTAGACTCTGCACAAGGCCAGTCAAGTGAGCGAGTGCTACATCATCGACGCAGAGGTGATCGCTCACGATGTCCCATATCACGATTACTTTTACACGCTCAACCGCTACATGCTCACTCGGGTCGCCAAGAACAAGTGCCGTCTCAGGTAACGTCTGCGCTCTATTTTAATCCGATAGATATTATAAGGTGTATTGCTTGGTGCTATACAAAAAACAACACATTTTGTAGCATGTAAGAGGAATGAAATGCCGTGGTGTGTGCTTGTGAATGTAAAAGAGTGTCGGCTGAACTGCGCTACAAGAAGCAGCCGTGGGGACTGGTCAAGGGCTTCATCGAGAGGAACTTCTGGAGTGGCCTGGATGAATATTTTAGGTATTTGGGTAAGTGTGATGAAAATAAAATATTCATTTTGAACATGAAACATTTAATTTACATTCAGAGTACACACAACGTAGCCTATGACTAAATAAAAAAAAAAATCTCTGTTTCTTTCTTTGCTGTGTGTGTGTGTGTTTAGAGCTAGAGTTGAGTAAGCTGGTGCTTTCTGAACCTCACAAACAGTCTCCCAGATCCAAAGCATTACACACGGCTCCGGTGAGGCGCAGGAAGCGGCCCCTGACGCACACGAGGCAGCAGCACACGGACGAGGCGCTCCGGCCCGCCACCAGCCCTGAGGAGGAGAAGAGCGTCGTCCGGCGCATCAAACACGTGGCAGGTCTGACGTCAGCCCGCTCGGCTCCTGAGACACGTGCCTGAACAGGAATATAGTGCGGGTTGTATGTTCAGGTGTTTTCCTCTGTCGCAGGATCCACACAGACCAGACACGTCCCGGACCACGGATCTGAAGGCCTGGCTCTCTACAGCGTCTCCAAACTCCTGCTCATCGTCAGCTCTGTGTGGGTGTTCTCAGAGACAAATCAGGAATAAAACAGCTAAATTAAGCTCGTTTTCTCCTCATATTTTCTCCCAAATTGCTCATTTTAGCAAAACCAGATTGACACATGCAGAACATTTCTTGAAATAAAGTAATTAGATGTTTACTGGGGCTAGATTAACGGTCTTTTTGGCCTAGCAAACTTTGTAGTTTTTTTTCCACATGCTTTTGCAACAGGACGCGGCATGCGTGCACTGCGCTCTGAAACACATTCATTTCATGGCTTGTGCCGCGCGAGGACGTTTTGTTGCTTCGTCGACCAAAGCGCAAGCGGATCTAACTAGGCCGGAAACAAAACAGCAGGCACGCCACACACACTTGCTTGCGCTTGCGAGCCGGCCAAATAGTAGGCTAACGTTACGTTTTGAGTGGATGACGAGCGCGAGACGCCAAAATGGACGCCAATAAGATTCTGAATGGAAAGTTTACTTTAAAAAGTTCCCAAATGGTTCCACTGACAAGACCAACGTGATCTGTGTGCTTTGTCGTTGTGAACTGAGCTATCATCATCGCAGCATGTCTGGTGCACACACACACACACACACACAGCTGATGCGAGTTCTCCGCCCCCTCGTCAATATCAGGACCTCGTCAGTATTTCTTTCACCCTTTTATTGATGGACGGCGTTACATTATTTGATTATTTGCTCCAAGTGAGAATTCTAGTGTGAATTTGAACACAGTATATGCATGCCAGTGTTGTTTTCAATAAAAACATTTGCACAAAGCAAGCCGATCCAGTTACAAATGTTGATAGAGCATTAAAATTAGAAAAAATAATGAGACAAAAAAGAAATCAAGAGACATTTAGAATAGATAAAAATGTGCGATTGATCGTGAGTTAACTACGACATTAATGCGATTAATCGCCATTAAATATTTGAATCGTTTGACAGCACTAATGTTTACATTTCCTACCATGTGTAGAATAGGCCACTTTAATGTCCTCTCTGCATGTGTCGTTCAACTTTGTCAGTCACTCACATTATATCTTACGTTATTAGAGGACAGGGTTCGGGGTAGGGATGACTCACACTGTTGGTCTGCATAATTCATTATGGTCTGTTGTTCTTCGGCTTCATGTCTTTTCTCTCTCCTGTTTTCATCGCGTCCTGCAGGATTTGTGTCAGGTATTCAGTGTTTTCATCTGTATGAACGTATAAATCATCTGTGCAGTTGACTCAGAGCGGTTCATGAGCTGATCGGGGTGTGTTCTCCTCTGTTCCTCAGTCTGGTGCTGCTGGTCTTCTTGAACATGATGCTGTTTTATAAGCTGTGGATGCTGGAACACACAGCCCAGAGTCTGACCTCATGGCAGGGTCTCAGGTCTCCGGAAAGGTAACGAGACCCTTCGGTGTGTTCATTTGGGAATGGGAGGTTTTTCTAAACACATAAACGAAACACCTAAAACCTTGGCACTGTAAACTAATATATGAAGAGTTCAGATGCAAAAGCCTCTAAGTGCCATTTGAAATTTTCTTCTAAAATGATCATTTTTATCAAGCTTGTATATTTAAGTTCAGTAATTTCACTTAAATGGCAATGAAGATTACCTATTAATTGCCATTTAAGTGAAATTACTGAACTTAAATATACAAGCTTGATCAAAATGATCATTTTAGAAGAAAATTTCAAATGGCATTTAGAGGCTTTTGCATCTGAACTCTTCATATTATTAATATGTATTTTATTGTATTTTTGGTTAGTTTTTAGGTAAAAATGTACAAACACTTACAACAAGCAGTATTGCATAAGATGGAAGTTTATTTTTCTTAAATCATTGCCCAGTTGTTTTTTCCTGGTTTTACACACAAATCTGGAAGGTTTATGCTAGAAAAAATGCCAATGTGGCAAGAAAAATAAACCTAATTCAATATATAATTGAATAAATGAAAAAATGTGCTCATCAAGTCTGAAAATAAATACTGATTGACTGATTTTGCTGCATATGAACATGAATATTTGCATGAGGAATATGTGTGTGTGTGTGTGTGATGGGCAGGTTTAGGGGTAGGGTTAGTGTGTGTGTGTGTGTGTGTGTGTGTGTGTGTGTCTGATGGGCAGGTTTAGTGTAAGGGGATAAAATATACAGTTTGTTCAGTATAAAAAACATTACGTCTATGGAGAGTCCTCACAAAGATAGTAAATCAGATGTGTGTGTGTGTTGCAGTAAACTTCCGCAAACACAGATTGAATGGGCTCAACTTTTGGAGTCTATGCAGCGTTACCATGAGAACGAGCTGGAGAAATGGAGGGAAATAATAAAGTCATCTGTGCTGGTGTTGGATGAGGTATGATAAAGTACAGTACACGTCTGAAACATTAGACAATAGGGGATTATCACGCTGAGCCGAAGTACTTCCGGATTCAGTGATGTTTGAGCGCTGCCACGTCCGCTGAATGACCGCTCTCGCTGGCGAACTGATGACGGACTACACTGAGTTTATTTATACGGCATCCCTGGTAAATTAGTCTGATTCACTAAAGTGCCGGCTGCAAACGAACGTGCTACCTTGTTTTATTTTAAAGTTTGGACTTTCTTCCCTGCGAACCGCTTTAATCCACTTCTTCCTTATACTCAATAGAGTCGGAAATCCATGAAAACTTAGGTAGGGTCGGCGTTGTTGGTTCGATTTACAAAGTGGAACAGAGCAGTGACATCTAGCCTTCGTCTCAGCCATTGTTGAACTGCGTCGGAAGTGGACATGCACAAAGTTGACAAACCTGGAGCGTGATAATCCCCTAGTGTATTATATGTATCATATTAAGAAATGATAAACAGTATTAAACAATAGAGTGGTCCAGTGATGACGTCTAAACCCGGAAGACTAATCCGTCACTGGTTCCCTTGAGATTTTCCTATGGGATGCCTGTGGTATGTAACTTGACGATGCTTTGACGTTTTATTCTACAATGTAAACTACTCGCACCCCTAGTGAAAACGCACATTTTGAAGTCTATATAAGTCACTAGATAAGACAGTTTGGGGTGTGAGTGTGTCTCATTTTTCTTGTAGAACAAAATGGCAAGTATCGTCACGTTACGGTATGTTTACCATAGGCTTTATTTTACTCACCCCCATAGAAAAATCTACAAACCACCAGTGTCATCACTGCTCCACTCGATTATGAAGAAAGGAACTCAAAGGGATAGTTCAACCAAAAGGAAAACTCTGCCATCATTTACTCATTGATTCAGGTCATTGTAAATCCACATGACTTGCTTTCTTTAGTGGAACACAAAAGGAGAAAAGAACTTTACTTGGTGCTCTTGAAAAGGATGCAAAAGCATCTTGAAATTGGTTCGTATGTATGATTATATTCCAAACCTTTTGGGTGAACTATTCCTGTGAAGTGCAGTCACGGCAGGATCTCAGTGACACGTGTGTGTGTGTTTACAGATGAGAGACTCTCTAATGAAACTACAGAAAGGTATCGGGTTTAAAGACTATGATTCAGACAGTGAGGAAAGCACCAGTCGCTATCACTGACGGTTCAGCGAATGTAATGAACATCTCCACACGCAAGCGTTCAGATGTGGGCGGGGCTTTGGTTCTCGCACTCGCGGTCCGCCCACGGCGCTGTGAGGCCTTTCTGACCGCAGACACGGAAGAGGAAACCCAGCGCTTTCATTTCTCCGTCAGTCTCGGGGGAAGGATGGTCTGTTCACCCAGGGCTAAAACAACTCGCAGACACCGACTCTCTGGTTTAAACACTCGGAAAACTTGAGCATCCCTTTTTGAAACCTTTTGGAGTCTGGGACCAGATAAAAAAAATATGGAGTCACTATCAACAAGTGTTATGTGGACATGTACACATTTATTTATAAAAACAAAATATGGAATTGAATGATATTATGATAGAGATGAAAATATATATCATTTCTATGTGGAGCTATATTTGTTGCCAGAGTTCATTTGTAACAGGCTTCCATGGAGAATCAAGGCTGGCTCCTTGATAGCTTGCGCCATGGTACATCAACTATATGCAATTGGTTTATCCTCCTGTTGGAAATGACTTCCTCTGATTGGTTGATTTGCGTACGGTGGAATCATCTACTGAGGTCATCGGCTGCATTCCAGTGTTCATACTGCTGCACAATAGAGATACTTCAGGCATATTAGTTAGGACATGGTTCATTTCCCATGTTCACTCCATCTTGCGCACAGTTGAGTGTACTAGCTTTTCAAAGTGTACTCCTTTTCCCGTGAGCGCGGATGGATGTGTTCGGCCTTTCTATTCAAGCACTCAAGTCTCTCTCTTACATCGCTGTTGTTGTGCACAAGTGGGAATGGATGCAAAATTCAGGACATTATTATTTGAAAGGTGATTTTTCAGTGTGAAGAGTCAACTACAAGAAATCCAAAGGATTATTTGCCTGGAAAGTGAAATACTGTGGCTCTGTGGTGCTATCAAAACCTCTCCACCAGCTTGGCACGTCGGCAACCAATGGCTAGAGTTAGGGGCGGGACTGTTTGTTTGGCTGATCAGTGATCAGTGGCGGCACACACTTATCCATGCTCAGAGTGTTGCGAATCAGTGGCAAAACCTGGAAACAAGTTAGCATTTTAGCACTTCCAGCTCCATCAGTGGGTTTTTGGCTAAATGGGTTTTGGGTTAAACTCAAGCAACAACGAAAGAATCATCAGTAAAGATATCGCCTTGTGAGTTTTGTTTAATGCTTTTACTTGTCTTAAAGTAGTCAGTGGCTAACAAGTGGCGAAATGGGACTGCGAAGGGTTTTAATTGAAGGCTGCAAGAGTTGTTGGAAGCTTAGTGATGATGACGTCCAAGTCATGTGGCTGTGGTGTTTAGCCTAACTTTAGTGTTTTACTCATGCCGATTGTATTTAGACTTGTTCATTTATGAAGATTGGCATGTAAGTTAAGTGGAATCATACATTTTTGTTGGTCAGAGCTAAAATTGCCAATTGAAAAATCCTGCTGTTTTTTTTTTGTTGTTGTTGTCGTCAAGGCAACCAGGGTGATGCCAAATTGTGGGTTGACCTCACCTCACGCACTATGAAGAGGTGTAGTATGGGAACTGGGATGCAGCCATCAAGCCTGCGGTCAACCAAACCTCTCGTCTAGTAATGTTTGTGGTATATCACTGGTTGACTACAGCAGGTCCACTCCAGCCAATGGCATCCATTCAAATGTGAACGAATTATTGTCACATGAATGTGTTTCTTTTCTCCCCAGGGTTCATTGGTGTCCTGTGGACAGCTGTAAACAACTTCATATTGCCAAGCTTTGATTTTAAAGCCACTTTGTGATGTATGTTCCCATGTTGTATGTTGTCCTTGTCTTGTGTTCTGATGCTGAACCAGCTGCTGGACGGGTGAGAGATGCACATTGATTTGAGAAAGTATTTAACGTGGCTTTATTAGTGTAGTGGAATAGGACAGACTTTTTTCTTGACCAGCAGTGGGTTCGTTAAGACTAAACTGTGAAAAATCCAGGTTATGCTTGAACTTTCAAAAAGAAACTGAGCAGCAATCTGAACATTTGGCAATATAATAAACGTTCAACCTCATGATACAGTTCAAATTACCTCTGAGGTGCCAGATGTCCTCGTACAGACTCTCACACGCACGAGTGGGAAACGCTGCGGTCCTAGATTGGCCTCGAGTGATATTGAGTTCTGGTGCTCATGTTTTATTTCCTGATCCTGTTCCCCATCAAGATTACTTCCAAAAGGCCAAAATCTAGAATTAGAAATGTGTTTACTGGAATTGATCTACTTCTAAGCAGCAATTTCTCAATCTAAAGTTGGTTCTGATTTGCATATTATTTACATATCAGGTGTGGTTTTTCTCGAGAGTCGTAGTTTCTCCTGTGAAGGGAATCTCCAATGGAACCAACTGGTTTTAAGTCCCGAATTGCCAAGAACAATGTATGAACTGATGAGAAGACTAGAGACAGAGAGTCCAGAACATGTGACCGATGAGAAACGGTCTCAGATGGACTGGTCTAATCTGGTCACTATGAACCAGTTTCATGTGTTCAAGGCAACTGTATCTTATGTCGATTTTGTCCTTCGAGCCTGTGCGATGCTGGACACGTGTCTTTCGGAGCCTATGCATTGCCCTGTTGGCTTTATTGACAGACCTCGTATCCTATTGTGAGCTACAAGGGCAATTTGGAAATGTTATTAGACTAAAATTGGCATCTGCAGCTCATAGTGATCAGCTTGTACTGTTTATGCTAGAGGATCAGTTAGCCCTCAAGAACGGTCTATTTTTCATTATGATTATGTTCCTAAAACAGGGACTACAGAATTGATGTCTGTATTCATCCTCATAGTCATTAAACTGATATGCAGTATTTAATGTGCAATACAGTGTTTTCAAGTAAAGTTAGGATCACTGAATCTGCACGTGAACCGTCTGTGAGAATGTATTTTAGCTGAAAGACGATCCTTTATTTGGCCGTTTTTGTGAAGCACGGGTGATTTAGACGTGTAATGACTTTAGATGTCAAGCATTGGGACGCCACCGCACTTCTGCACACTGCTCACTTTCAGGCCCTAAACAGTATTTTTCAGCATTTTGCAGGTTCTGCGAACAGTATTATTTCTAATGTAGCCGGTGTGCACGGACAGGATGGTTGCTTTCCTATTGGTCCAGGTGAATTGGATATGAATATTCATATATGATGTTTTTTTAGCGCATGTCAATGTTAGGAGCAAAACACTGAAGTAGAAAAACACTGGTTATTTTTCCCCCCAAAACATGGAAAGAAGGAAAAAATGAATATGTATTTTAATTACAATGTTGAGTTTTAAATGCTTTTTTATCATAATTTAAAATGTTCTTTACAAAATGTATATACATGTGTTACTGCAATGTATGTATATGTTGTGTACAGTGCACATCCTACGTGCGCTGGTTGCACTGTGGGATCCCTGAGAAATGTTCAGAAAAAAATATTACAAAATTTGTGTTGTCAAGAAATAGGCGGAATGAATAAAAAAGTATTTGAAGATGATTTCCACTGCCTTTGTTATTACTTACTACATTTTCTGCATTATAACTTTTATTTGTATTATTTTTAACAGACGTCATTTGGAGAGAGGTTGCGCACAAAAAGTATTAGCGTTGCTTCATAATATTAAGGTTGAACCTGGAGTCACATGGACTACTAATTTAACGATGTCTTTATACCTTTCTGGGCCTTGAAAGTGGTCGTTGCATTGCTGTCTGGACAGGTCAGAAAACTCTCGGATTTCATTGAAAATATCTTCATTTCTGTTCCGAAGGTGAACGAAGGTCTTGGGTTTGGAACGACATGAGGGTGAGTAATTCATGACAGAAATTTAAGTTTGGGGAGCTAACCTTTTAAGTTTGGAGTCATTGTGATTGGTTGATCAGAGACCAATGAGTGACCAGGCATTAGGACTCACGTTATTAAACATATCATTTTATTGGTATGAACCAAAAACCATGTGATTTCCATTCCGATGGCTGCAGGGCTGAATGGGTTAATAGAGTTGGAGGGTAGTTTTGTATGTTTATCTTTAGGGTCAGAAATTAACCAGGGGATAAACACACAGAAAGTGACAAATCCTTTCAAATGTCAAGTCCTCTTCCTTTCTCTAAATTGTGTTTATATAGTTAAAGTAGCTCAAGAAGGTATAACGAAAAGTAACACGACGCGACGAACCGGCACGCTATTGGTCAGTTGATAATAGGCGCGTTCAGCGCGTTCGGATCTGGTCGCGTCGCGTCGCGGTGTCCCGCCCATGACCGCTGATCTCCTCCTCTTCCAGGAAGTAAAAAAGGCGTCAAATAAGGAGGAACAAGGGAAAACAAATCCTCCCCACATCTGTCTCTCTCCCTCATTAATGTGTTAAGCACATTAATGCTTTAGATTGTCGTGTGAAGCGGCTGTATGATGTCCATTAGAGCGCGAAACAGAGAGGTCTGCGCAGACTGCAGCTCGACCGGTAAGACAAACAAAACAAACGCAAACAGACAAGACTGTGGCATCTTGCAGGGGTTTTATTCAGACAGATGTTTATAAACTACATTTATTTGAGATTATTCTCAAGCCAACAGAGTAATAACCCTAACGGATTACACGGATATTGGTTTCTGAATAAAACATAGCGCGGTAAAAGGACAGTCCCGATATTCCCATTGGAAAATACCGCTAACTGATGATGGCCAGGCCCTCGTTTTTAACAACTAATTATTACATTCAGATCAACCAATAAACTAGTCAAATGTTCTACTCTGAGGTAAAGACGGATCCTTAATTCAAGCAGGGAAGACCTAATAAATAAATATATACCATGGTAAGGTAACGTCAGCTAATAGTTTCCACCGAAATCCTAGTTTCTGTTTTCATAACGGTTATTGTTATTTATAAGAATAAAACACTGAACTTAAACACCTCCCTCCTTCCAAAAATGTCATAAAATATAGTGATAGACCAATTTGTGTTAAAATCAATGGCATTTAATTTAAAAAAAATATATTTTTAGTCTATAATGAAATAACCGTTTATTCATTTATTTATTAAAAATTTTATGTATTTTTTATTTATTTATTTATTTTTGCAGCCAAGATCTACACACATTATTTTTATTTCTAAGTGTTGTGGTAATAATATTCAGAACTGGTTATTTGTTTTGTTTAGTATATTTTGACACAAGAATAACTAAAAAAGAATTAATCTAACTTACAGTAAAAATACACTTAAATTCGATAATCATTATATTTAGGTATATATTGTGTAGGCTAATCTGATATTATTATTATTATTATTTACAGTAGGCAATTTATGTACTGTTGTTTTGTGATCTAACTGGTCTAAATGATCTACATTAGATTACCATTTAGGATTTATCTGATTATGTTGTATGAATGCTGTAAAAAAATGTTGACGATGCATTAAATGCGTCACTGTTCCTCTTTTGCTTCACTGACAGTCGAACTGCAGGTCTGATGATCATGTTCTCCTGCATTATTTGAGATAATTCCTGCTGCCGTGAACACTAGCACATCTGACCATCAGTGTAAAGGAGTCACATGCTCAGTGTCGAGGCCCGTTCACACCAAGAACGATAACCATAAAGAAAACAATAAAGATATAGTTCTAAAACTGTTCCCATTATTATATTAAAGAATAGTTGCGTAAACGCCACAGCTAAAACGATAATGGCACTGAGAAAGTGGAAGACAAGCACGCACGTAGAATAAACCGAACGATAACGTCCGCTGGTGTGGACACTAATATGGTTTTCTTTGGTCATCGTTGTTGGTGTTAATGGGCCTTTATACATTTGTCATATATCTGCCAGGTGTTTGACAGTAGGAAGAATTGTGTAATGTCGAGATCTGCCTTTTGAGGGGAATTTGCAATACTTGAGTCACAAAGCTTTTCTTTTGTCTTTGTTAGATCCTCGTTGGGCCTCGATCAATCGGGGAGTTCTGGTGTGCGACGAGTGCTGCAGTATCCACCGCGGCCTGGGCCGCCACAGCTCTCAGGTCCGGCACCTGACCCAAACCGCCTGGCCCTCCTCACAGCTACAGGTGACGGCCCGTTCTGCTCGCTCGCATGTGGAGCCGCTTTGCTTTGCATGTTTCCTGAGGTTCATTGAAAGGAAATGAGGCATTGTATCTCAGTTCCTCAAACAGAAATAGACTGCAGTGGTCGGCGTGTTTTCTGTCGCCGGCCTCCTGCCCACACCGCGAGACAATGCGAATGTCAGTGCGCCGATAACTCCCAAAAATCGGGTTCTTGAATGATCCTCTTGTCCTGGTTTACATGCAAACCAATAACCCTGGTAATTAGGCCTGCACGATTAATCGCAGTGTCCATGTAATTAGTGTGATTTATCGCCATTTTGAAATTGCAAAGTCTGATTGTGTTTTTTATGCGCAGCTCCTCAATGATGGAGGGCTCTTAAACGCTGCTCCATGCTCCGTGCAACACACGTCAAACATCTTTTAAAACATGTCCAACAAAAGACAATGACATGCTTTACTCAAAACTCACTTCTCCTTCTGTGAGATGATGGGGCTTCTTACACAGAATAAAGCAGTCGCGTATTTATGAGTAATGTTTAATCAACAGAGCGTTTCAATCTTCTGTTTATTCCGCTACAGCGATGATGGGGATTTCCTGGAATAATGTGCGTTATTGTACTTAATGTCACTGTGTTTGGTTTAAGGATTGGTTTACGCTTTAAGGAAGAGTTCACCCAAAAATTAAAATGATGTCATTGTTTATTGTTGCACTCAAGTTGTTTCAAACATTTATGAATTTCTTTCTTCTGTTGAACACGATATATATTTTTTCATTGAAGTGTGTAGACACTGCTCATGTGTCTCGCTGACGTTAGAGTGCCTGAAACTCCATTGCAGCGTTATATGCGTGTTCATTTCTGGTCAAGTGAAAGATAAAGAAAGCTAAGCTAAAGTGTGTGGTGTTTGTCCATAGATGGTGAAGTCCTTGTACAATAATGGAGCCAATTCAATCTGGGAACACAGCCTTCTGGATCCATCTTCCATCATGAGTGGAAAACGCAAAGCCAATCCTCAGGACAAAGTCCAGTGAGTGCCGTATATCGTGACATTTAGAGCCAAGCGAGTCTCTTAAACATGCTCACGTAATCATTTACTTCTCTCTCAGCCCTAACAAAACAGATTTCATAAAGGCTAAATATCAAATGTTGGCGTTTGTTCATCGAATGCCATGTAGAGAAGATGATAGTGTCACTGCCAAAGACCTCAGCAAGGTGAGACTGTTTCTTAATAAAAATGAATGACCTGGAGTGGACAAGATACCACAAAATAAACCATGAATTCACTCTTGTTTTTTTTAGCAACTTCACTCCAGCGTGAGAACCGGCAATTTGGAAACGTGTCTGAGGCTGTTGTCGCTGGGCGCACAGGCGAACTTTTTCCACCCAGTAAGTTTCAAAGGCCATAAGGATATTGCTACATTTTTAAAATGCAAAAGTTCTAGTTTATGTAATATAAAAAATAGTGATCTACTCATGATGTGCAAATTAAGACGCAGCCGGATCATTTCCATAATGACCATCACAATCTTCCAAGAGCAGTGTGTGCTTCAATTAAGAAATGCTTTAAATAATGGCGCAAATGATCAGTAAATTGACTTGCTCAAACCTTAGTAAATCACCTTGCCTGATTCATTCAAATACTCTCTTCCCATAAATCTTGTGTCTGAAAGGTAAACAAATGCAATAAGGTCATGCAGAAAAACAACTTTTTTCAGCACTAACTTTTCACTGCGTGTCTTTAGTAAATCCTGACAGTAGTGTTTTGACGCCAAAAGAGGGTTTGTGCTGGAGCGAGCTGTTGGCAAATCTGGCCCACTGATATCAGAACTCAATTTTCTGTGCTTTGCGTGGCATTATACCTGAATGCCCTCATGTCGATCCACCGCTAAAGTGGAATAAAATTAAATTCTTTGCTATGTATTCCACGTGCACCATAGCAGGGGTTAAGCTCTATTGTCCCCGACAGGAGAAAGGAAATACTCCATTACATGTGGCAGCTAAAGCAGGCCAGCTGCTACAGGCCGAGCTGCTCACGGTTTACGGAGCCGATCCCGGAGCACAGGACAGTTCTGGGAAGACCCCTGTTGACTACGCCAGGTGAGAGAGATGCAGATTGGAGGGATCCGTACAAACATGTGATGTTTTATGTTCTGTTATCTGTTCTGTGTCACTGTAGGCAGGCAGGACACCAGGAGCTCGCAGACAGACTGGTGGAGATCCAGTTTGAGCTCACAGACAGACTAGCCTTCTATCTGTGCGGAAGAAAGCCAGGTCAGTCATCAGTGTCGTCGACGTAATGACAGCACACCATGTACCTCAAAGGTTTGAGATCCTAGAAAGAAAATGGCTTCTTGTTTCCCTCAGATCATAAAAGCGGGCAACACTTTATAATTCCTCAGATAGCAGACAGGTAGGAGAAGCTCTCTTTTGATTCATGCTTGTAGTTTATTAAAGT